TGCTTGCTTTTCACTTTCAGCAACGTCTTGGTCATCTTGCCAGTGTTGTGTAACATTTCGCCCTTCGTGTTCGGCCATTTCTATCTTTTCTGCTGCATAGCCGTCATTATTTTTCAACGTCTCCTCTGTTTCATGCATGTGCACATCCATTTCTGAGACGTTGATCATCACTTCTTCCGCTATTTTGTTTCCTGTCTCTTTCCAGCCCATTTTTGTAACATGAATATTGTCATCTGCATGCTCTGCTCTTGTACTATCTTCCTCCATTCTTGGGTCATGCGGTTCACAACTTACCACAACCAGTTGGTTCTGATCCTGTAGACAAATGCATTGTTGTTTCACCAGGTGTCTGCCCATTCGGCTATTTATCCTCATCATTGTCTATTCCCTCATTGTTCCTTGTATTTACTGCATCAAAAATGACGCTATTGTCTATTCCTTTTGATTCACTCAGTTTAGTTGTTACAAACTCTTCCACCGGTTTTAGGTCAAATAACCTGGTGTATACATCTTCCCCTATTAATCTATACACAACGTCTTCAAGTGCATGCATATCTTCAATCTCTTCTGCCTGAAAAATTGACAGGCTTATTTTCCATCTCCATCAATCAGTTACCATTGTTTTCACAAGAAATTCATTGTCTTCAGTTATAGACGTGGGATAGTGTATTCCCGAAATAGAATTAACCGTTTACTCTAATGTTCATTGTACCTGCATTGACTAAAACAATGGCATATGTAAATGCAATCCGTTATGATTCTATTCTTTCATTGCATTGACAGTATTCACAGACCACAGTTGCTGTTATTTTTCAAGCATTTATAATTTCTAATTATTACCGCTCTTTATTCAAGGCAACACAGAAATTGAAAGATGCTATTTGTTTCTATTGTTGAAATTTTGTTTTGAATTGATGAAGATTAAACGCACTTTCTGCATCATTTTTTGTTTTTTCTTCAATATTAAATAATCGATTACTAGAGTAATGGTGATTATGTGCATTTACCTGTTGCAACTCACTTCTATCTTTGCCTTCATACCAAGTTCTGGTGTGCTTCTACGTCCTGAATTCCCTAACTGAATGGCCGGAGCCTACATTAATGTATAACATTTGAAAGTTTAACATGTGCTTCTTATTTTATACGGATATTGGTATTTTCTATTATCTTCTATCTTTTATGTTTTATGTTTTATCTTTTATCTTGTCTTGTATTAAATATAATAAATATTAATATAAAAACGAGATGTCCGGAAGTCACCTTCGTTTTGGCTATTAGAGTTGTTTTTGTCGCTTTAATGCGCACACTGGCCACACTAGTTCCGGTTTCTCCTTCGACGGCACGTCTACTGTCTTCCGGTTGTTGGCTTTTTCGTGCCGAAATATGTACTCCTTTGATAGGATCGATAACCATTATAACCTACATTTAGCGTTGCTTACGTCGGTCTGCACTTCTTATTAAATTGAGTTCAATACAATAAAACATATCAAAAAAAAAAATTACCGAGACATTTTGCTCTCCCACCGAACAAGTTCTGGCTTCGTCCGCATCAGCCGTTTTTCTGACTCGGTGCATCATCTTGTACTAACCGCACACTCCACTATGCCATCACCAATAATTCTGCTTGGGTTTTGCCATGTTGCTTCTGCCCAACTGTCTTCCGTCCCAGAACTAGACAAAGTTATTTTTCATTCTCACTTCTCTTGTTTCAAACACCTTTATTCTTCTCTCTTCCTTTTTTGTACACTATACAATTTGAAACACCCGATTGAATTGCCAGTTCATCCTCGCGTGTTTTTCCTTGCACTTCCACTGACTTTTGACTGTTTGACGATGCATCTTTTTGGGGGCAAGTTGCCGGTTTCCATTTTCCAGACCTAAAAAGAAATTGCGGTTTACAAAGCTTATAATCCTTTTTCCCAATATCAACCTGTTTACATTCCAGCATGTAAGAGATCATTATAGCACAAGTCGGCCTGATGTTGAATTTTGGACCGCCTACTTTGGTAATTACATCCGCAACCCGATTGAAAATATGAGCTGCCCAATTTGCCTTTTCCTTTTGCAGAATTACTTCCAAAGCTCTCGCTCTTGATCCTGTCATGTTGTCGAGATTACCAGTCCTCACTTCAATACAAACGCTTACAATTTTGAATAATCCTTGCATCTCTTGTTTTAATGCAGCCATTTTACAACTAAAGTCCACTACAGGATATTCTGACCGAGCAATTTTACGCCACAACGAATCTGGATTCGCCGGTGGAATGTCTAGATTAACATCGCCTTTGTCAGATAAACCAATGTGCGCAAAATCTTCTGTCGTGACCCTAATTTTCTCGCCATTAACCTTCGCCTCGATGACGTCGCCGTTATTCTGTGCGGTTTCATAAAATTCTGCAACAGTTGTTTAAGAAAAATTAATTGCATCTAAGGGTTTGCTCAGATACTCATACAAATTAAACCAGTGGCCTTGACGCATTCAACTACTTCTTTCGCACTTTCCTTGTCTTCTGCATTCTCTACATAAGCACCGAAATCAACTAATTTGCCGAGCTGAATCTTCTTTGTCATGTCTGTAGTCGCATTACTGCTTGGAACAGTCATTCAAACTGTGAGCATTATGAAGAAATTTGAAAATAATAATAATAATAATAATAATAATAATAATAATAATAATAATAATAATAATAATAATAATAATAATCCAAACAAGACGATATACAAAATAAAATTAAAAAAAAAATAAGAAGAAGACAAAAAGGAGCCACGGGCTCCCTTTGTAAAGGATGTGAGATCATTTTAATCTCACATTGAAAATGTTTGGAAAGGGGAACTCTTGAGCTCCTCTAAGAAGCAATGCTCCTCTTACAATACAATATTGAGAAGTCCAAAGTCTTTTTTTTTCTTTTTTTGTTTAGAAGTAAAGGAAAATTAAAAATGGAATTGAAATATTTCAATAGTAATATTTTACATCATCAAATAGTTAAGGCATATTTTAAAAAATAGTAAAGGTAAATTAAAAATTGAACAAAAATGTTTCATTAATAATATTCTACATAATCAAATTAAAATGGAACGAAAATTAGGTAAAAATATCACTGCATCTATATTCTAATTGACTAATTGATTGAAAATAAAAAAGAATAATTGACTGAAAAATGAATCTAATATTACTAATTGACTGAAAATATAAAAGAAAATGAATAGTAATAATTGACTACAAATAAAAAATGATCCATAATTGACTAAAATAAAAAAATAAATGGTCAGATCATTGCATTTTAATTAAAAATGGAATGGAAATTAAAAAGTGGAGAGAAAATATTTCAATAATAATATTCTACATTATCAATAGTAAATGCATATTTTAAACAATAGTAAAGGTAAATTAAAAATGGAATGGAAATATTTCAATAATAATATCTACATCATCAATTACAAATGGAACGAAAATTAGGTAAAGATATCACTGCATTTGATATTCTAATTGACTAATTGACTGAAAATAAAAAATAATAATTCGCTGAAAATGAATCTGATATTACTAATTGACTGAAATATAAAAGGATAACTAATTGAGTGATATTTCACTATTATATATTTTCACTCAAGTAACCCGTCTTGATAGATTGAAGGTGTTAGCTCTAGACGAAGATGAACAAGATTGTGTTACCACCACTACCAATGTCGTCTACAAAGAGGTTTCAATAATATGCAAATATAATCGGTGATATTAAATTTTTTTTTAAATGAAAAAATTGCTATATATCTAGACAAAAAAAATATATCTTCCATACAAATATATAAGGATAGCAATTCATTTCTGAGTTGTTAGAGAACGAGCACATTTGCCTAATTTATGAAAATATTAAACAATGATAAATAAAATTTTCAAAGTTATAGCACTGCATGCGTACATATAGACATTAGCTATTAATTTGAGCAATTATTTGCACAAATTCAAACAATGATAACATCAAAATATATAAACGATCCAAACCATATCTTTAATTGCACTATATAATTTTGATGTTCTAATTTAAATAATTACATATCAATTCATATATTCTTAATATATTACAACAAATCCATTCCGTGCATCGCAAGAGTGCAAATACTAGTAAAGATAGAATTATTATCTTACAGAGAGTTAAATTTAACATTTTGTTGTTACCAAAGTACTGCCCATTATATTTAACTAGTATTTGCACCCCGTGCGATGCACGGCCATATATATTATAAAATATACAGTATATAATATAATAAGAGAAAAAAATTTAAAGTATGAAAATTTAAAAATTTTGAAACGATAACTCAAATATATATAATTATAATTTTGTAATATAACCCAAATATCATTCTAGTTATTAGGCACAAACAAAAAATTTTGTCCAACAACTACATATATTTGTAAATGATTTAAAAGTCCAAGAGCCCTAATATGTGGTCAGTCCAAAAAAATAACTTTGGCTCAAGTATAAAATATTAATCCTATTTCAATTTATATAATTAAATATTAAGTGTTGTTACACAACTCATTAGATACGTATTGAATATGTCAGTGCTGATAATAATAGCCGATTTGATCCAACAATAATTTGCACTAAAATAATCAGGTCATCTTAATATAATACATTAGTCAATTTAATAATTATCAACTGAATACTATTACAAAGCCCTAATGAATTATCAAAAATTAAGTATAAAATATATATATTTATATATATGTACAACATATACCTTTAACAATGTATTTATATATACATATTATTCCAACATAAATATAACAAATGTATATAATAGAATTATATATTATAATTAATTATATAATAGCATTACAAATTACAAATATATTTATAATAGAATTCTGATGGCCCAAACCCTTATAAGCAAATGGAATGGCCCAAATCAAAACCCAAAAAGAAGTTTCCCAAACCCGATCCAACAACATTGCTCAAAATCAGATTCCGGAGATGAGATCTACATACGCAGCCCCGACCCTTTGTCTTCTATCCAGCGAATGTTCTACACCTCTCTCTCTCTAGAACTGTCGGAATCTTAGTGTTCAACCCTTAATTGTAAGTGTAATTTCAGTTTTGATGAAGTGCTAGCTGAAATCTGGATTCTTACACCAAATCCCTAGCTAAATTAATCAAGGTAATCGTTGAAACCCTGAATCTTTCTCAGCAGCTAAAGTCCAGTCCCTAAGGTGTATTGAGTTCTCACCTTCTCTCTACTCCTGAGCGAATCGCACTGAGTGCGTCCCTAATTTCCGTTTTCTACATCGAATCTGTGTTCTATAGACCTTTTTACATGATCTGGGTTTTTGTACACCAGATCGCAGATCTAAACCTGAGTTCAACAACAAATCCTCAGTTTTTGAAGGCAGTTTACCTACTTCAAAGCTAAAACGATTATGATAATCTGCTTGAATGTCATCTTCCTACGATAAAGCTAAGTAAACTATTACTTTTCTATTTTCCTGGTTTTTTTTCTTAAATTTAATATCTATTTGCAGTTTGTTTCATCGTATGATTCCTACATTTGATTAGAGTTTTCATAAAACAGTTTCATGCAGTTAGAAAATTGATTTCTTTATCTTTTTTTGAAGACCTTAAAAATTGATTTCTAAGTAATATATTTGTAAACATATAATCTGAAAGCTAATCTATTCTTACAGAGGTAAATATATTCACTACTTGGAGGTATATTTGCTGGAGTGGCCATTCTATACTCCGATTATATGCAAAATACCTTCAACTTCTTGTGGGAATTGCTCATAGCATTAGACTTTCTTAGGAATAATACAAAAAAGTTTTGTCCCATCTTTAATGTGCATGATTGAAATTTATCCAAGTTGAATCATCAGGTTAAATTTCATCAACTTGTACTTTATTTTGTCCCACATCTAATTGCATAGTGTTTCACATCTACTTTATATATGTGATACCTGTATGTTTTGTCTGTATCCTGCTTATTTTCTAACATCACATTTCAAGTTCTCTACTATGGAACTTCAAATGTCTTTTTGTTTAAGTAAAAAGATGTCAGAAGAGCATGCATATTTCATGAATTTATTCTTCAATCAAGCCTTGAATTTGCCACAATTAACTCAACATTATGGAATGTTGTTCTTATTACATTGTTTTACCTACAAAATAGTGTATTAATAACATATTTATATTAGAATTGGTAATAAAAATGACGTTTTATTACCATTTTGATATTACAATGTATTCATCTTCACTGCCTTGTTGTAGAGTACAACCTGCAACATTTTGAAGTGACAGGAAACAATAGTCTAATAAAAAAATTAGATAAAGAAATAGAAAAAAAAAACAAAACAAAACAAAACAAAACATGAATATAGGATTAATTGAAAAAAAATAGAAGCTGAATCATTAGCAGATAATGTAGGTAGGTGAGAATAGAAATGTTTCCAGCAACATAGATAGTGTAAACCACAATCAAAATAATTGATAACACAAAACTAAGCTACCAATTTAGTCTGTCCATATGCATAATCCAGAAAAAACATCAATACAATTGTCTTAAATTTCAAATTCAGTGTGGTTACAAAAAAAATTTCAAATTCAATGTTACAGTTTTTCTTGTTTCACTGCCACCATCTTTGACTTTTTAAGGTTTTTAGATGATGAAAACTGATCAAGCAGACATCTTTTTACAGTGTCTGAATTTTCAGACTCTGCACCTTATCATTCTGCTGAGATGCATTGTATGGACTGTTAAATATATCAGAGAAATTAATAAACATCTTAGTACAGAAATTAATAATTTAATGTCTTGGCTTGTTATTAAAGACAAATATGAACATAGGTACAATGAAAAAATTAAGAAAAACGTATGAATACCAAATCAGCTTCCCTTAGGCTTTAAATCAAGATTAGTTTTCCTTATAAAACAGAGACAAAAGGAATGGAAATTTGCTTTTAGTATGATTAAAAAAAAACAAAAAACAAAAAACAAAAACAAAACTGAAAAATGTATTTTACCTCATTGTGAAATAAACATTCTTTACTGATTTCACATATTCTTATTGCTCCCTTGGTGGGCAGTGGATTGATATCCTTCATATTTCTTTTTTTTCAGAGTATTATTGCGAATCTCAGTTTGCAGTTCTTCATCTTCGTCCTAGAAACACGAAGAGTCTTGCTTTGGAACAATGAGATATAATAATTATGTAATTTCAAATTAGTTTTATTCAGTTCAAATTTGTAATTTAAACCTAAAGTAGCTGAATCGCTTTCCCATGTTATTATTCGAATAATGTGCGCTGCCTTATTTATTGCTTGGGGCTTTCAAAGCAATAAAAAGCAAAAATAATTTCGGCTAAGCCTCCTAGATAGAAACAAAGCAATGTAAACAGCATTAAAATCACAGCAATAATCTTCACTCAAAACGGTGTAGTTTTATTTAAGCGGGAAAACAAAAGTTTTCAGGAAGTTATTGTTTTATTATAGAGTTAGAGTAGATTATAGAGTTAGACTAGTATTTGCCTCGTGCGATGCACGGTATGTAAATTAAAAAGTATTAATTGTGTGGTTGTTATATTATAAATTGTGTGAAATAATGAGGTTATAATTTATAACATATAAATGAAATATGTGTGGGAATTCAACAAAAATAATATGTAAATGGTATATTATAAATAGTTGCAATTAATGTTATGGTATTAAAAAAAAAAAAAAAAAAAAAATCTTATCAAAATTTCAAATTATTGAAAACATCATGATATACAACATTAGTAATGTAGCTAATTACATGATTTCAATAAATATTAGAACGAACTTAATTTTGTATACAATATAACTTATAAAATATAATGTTATAAGGATTTTAAGTACATAATTAAACAATTGAATGTTTATTATATAATTTATTAATTTATTATTTGGAACTACATTCGTTGATCCTTATGTAAATAAATATTATGTATACATATAATTTAACTTTATATATAATTTTTTTTTACCATATTTCGAAGTTGGGTAACTATATATATACATAAAATATACGGAGTATAATATTATATATTACATATAATACATACATATATTGTGGTTAGAAGGAGTTGGACTGCGATTCTAGAAACCACGCCACCTCTGCTCTCATTCTTCTGCATTTCTACTTGCAAGCAAGTTGACTTCTCAGACACATTTATGGGTCGGAGAAGTGCTATTCGAAGCTCTGTCGCGCAAGAAATTGATATTCCATTTCTTCAATTTTGAACACCGATCGTTGTTCATATAGGCTTTAAGGAGAAATTTCTGGGCGATTCAAGGTGTTTCAAAATAGTTTCGATTATGGGATTCATCTTTCAACTCCATTTCTACGAAATCCTAAAGTTTGTTGAAATTCATTTCTATATTATATGTCATGTATTTCTTATAGGCAAGAATGAACCCATGCATGTCGGATCTGAGTACAGATCTGGGTTTTTGAACTGCAAAGGTACCCGTGCGATACACGATCAATAAATTATATTTTAATTTTATATTTTGTTATTGTACTAAAGTAAATAATTGTGCAATATGTTATTTAATAAAATACACATATTACATGTTAAACATTGATTCAAGTATATTGCAATTTACACATAAAGAAATGATTAAATTGTAAATTGGTATTTTATTTACAAATTATTGAAAACTTCATGGTACACAACATTAGTTGTTGAAGTACAGCTCTTGTTAAGCTCATTACAAATTAGAATCTTTAGACCTTTAAGATTGCTAACTCTAGATGCAAGAACATACAATTGGTCATGTACAAACACTGATTTCTTCAAGAGCAACCCAACATGAGATAGTGTCTGACCTTGACTTTTATGTATTGTCATTGCATATGACAATATTAATGAGAATTGTCTCCTTTGAAATTTGAAAGGCAATCTTGTATCCGATGGAGTCATGACATTCTTGGTATCAACACTGAACTCCTGACATTGTCACCCGTCATTATTTTAGCCTCAATAACATGCTCAAACAATCTTGTAATGACTAATCTCGTACCATTACATATTACAACTTCATTTTCTCCATGTAATACCATGAACCGCAAAAATAAACATTTATTATAGTAATTTCTGATATATTATTATTATTATTTAATTATTTAAAAATAGTCATTATAATACTCCAAAAACTAAGAATATTAAGAAAAGCGTATGTAATTAAATTCATATAGTCTCATATTCATATAAACGAAACGAAGAGTGACATTAAAACAATGAGCATATATACACTAAAAACACCCTAAAATAACAAACTCATGTTAAAACAATGAGCATATATACATTAAAACAATGAGCATATATACATTCTAAAATAATGTCACTAAGTAGAATTTTATACATATTAGATTAAGAATTATGAAATAATAATATTACTAAATAATGTTAGTAAATGTTCCCTTCATTTTTTATATAAATAGATAAATAATAATATTGTGCATATAATATAATTCAAGAGAATAGATAATAGATAAGTGGATTTTATGTTAAACCTGACTATGGTTGCCTAATATGCGTTGTTGACCTTGCTGTCTGATTAGTGTTAATATCATTTTTCTTATTGTTATTGCAGATTAATTAATTGGGAGGAGACTGTTCTTTGCACACAGGATGTGGTCAGACTCGTAGAAATACATTTGATTTACAGATAAGTTGTTTCTAATCCTAAAAGCCTAGGTTTAGCTATCATATGAATTATTATATGCATAAAGTTAACTGTAATCAGTGTAGTTAAGTGTTTAGTTTCGGGAAATACCTTTGTTTTGATGACCATGCTTCCTCTTTGCTCCAATTCCCAATGGTGCATGAAGATGTGATCTTCCTCATGGTTTGTGGTTTTGGTAGGATGAGTTCTTTGTCTTAAGAAGAATCAGAAGAATAGTGGTAAATTCAATAATGTTGTGAAGGTTGTCTTATTTATTGAGTCATTTCTTTGGCTTGTCTTGAAAAAAACATCTAATTGACTTAATTATTCATGTTTTCAAGCCCATAGAGAAGCTGAAAAGTTTATGTGTGCTGTTAACCTTTCCCATTATTTAACCACAAAATATCTTGTGGTTAATCATAAATAGTTGACACCTAGCATAGATTGTAATATATACATTTTTCTGATTAATATGTTTTTATATATTTTGGGAGTGAACATTCTGGTATACCTTAAATCTATGGGCCACATACTTTGCCTAACAAATCTGTTTGATATTACAGGAACAACTATAACGTACAGGAAAGCTCTATTAGTGTAAGTTGGTTAGTTAATTGAATTTTAATTAAGTTGAAATTAACATTGGCATACATAAAACTATTGAGACAGTGTCTAACTTAGTATAATGGATTTATGCAGGAAAATTTGTGTATTTCAAAATTGGAAGTTCAACACTGATAGAATTATGTTAATGTGAACTCATTGACATCATATTACATTGTAAGTATTCCCTATATGCTCACTTGGACTTTGCAGTTGAATCCCATGATTGTCTAATAATTCTTTCGATTAAGCTTGAGTCACTGTTTAGCTTGTGCCTGCTTGATAAATTGTCTAAGAAGAATACATTATGGTATGTCCTACATTATTCTATACAAAAGTAGAAACTACCAATTAGCATATGATTATTAGTTTGGAGTCTATTGGTTTAACTGTATATATTTAACTTATAAATTGTAATTACATTAAAATGTTATTATTTTGAATAAGTCAGGTATCCATAGTGGTAGACAAAGCAGTATACACACTTGGAAACATATACTCAGAGGATTCAGACAAACTGTCTTACCAGATGGAAAACTACATGCTTGTAGTGTTTTAAGAGGCAATTAAGGTATCTATTTCATCTGAGAATTAAAAACTTATTTCTTTCATATAGATTTAATATTTTTTTAAACTATAAGAGTATGTTTGGATTATTATGCAAATATTTTTTTAAACTATAAGAGTATGTTTGGATTATTATGCAATGGTTTGTTTATAAACTGATGTGATGTGTTCTATTTTTCTGTGATAAGGGAATTACCCTTCAAAATTTACATACATGTGTAATGTGTTCTACATGTTTAAGTATTATTTATATTCTGCAATGTCATACAATATTAGTTATTCTTAGGGAATTAGATGACCAATAGTTATATAGATGTGTCACTTGTTTTACATGTTAAAGTTTTTAAAATATCAATTGTATTTTATTATGTACTTCAACAACATTAGATGTTCTAAGGTTACACATTTGAAAAAAATAGTAAACATGCATCATGTGTTTTACATTTATATACAATTAAAATTATTTTTTAGACTGAAATAACTTTTAGAAAAGCTATTTAACATTTAAAAGAAACAAAAAGTATCACACGGTTTAGATATCCTACACTCTTGTATAGTATAGAGAAAAACTAAAATCTTTTATATCTTTTTAACAAAAGTATCACACTGATTACGTGCCCTACACTCATCTATAGAGAAAAAAATGCAACATGTTCTATCTTTTTACAAAATTATCACACTAATTACATGCCATACACTCATCCATAGAGAAAAAATAAAATCTTTTCTATCTTCATTCATTACAAATGTGGATTGAGGTTGGTTGAGTCCATATGGTTGCAATGCTAGTATCTTTTGTGCTGTGTGATTACTTGTGATATTTGAAGGTGAAATCCCTGAAACAAAAACAGAAAAGAATATAAAGTTAGGGAAATCTGAAACTATAATTTACTACAGTATAGGAAATGGTTTATTCCAACAGTTTGCAATGTTCCTAACATTGGTGAGGGACTAACAGACAGTCATATGGAATAGGGCTAGAGATAACCAAGAATACTGCCTACACCTGTCCCTGCAAATAAGAAATCAAGCAAATGATAGAGAAAACCAAGAATACTGCCTACACATTGTCCCTGCAAATAAGAAATAATTTGATTTACTACAGAATAGGCAAATGATGATTTTAGTAGTCTCTGCAAATAAGAAATAATTTGATTTACTACAGAATAGGCAAATGATGATTTTAGTAGTCTGATTTTAGTAGTCTGCTCTTTCCTATACTGCCTACACATTGTCCTTGCAAATAAGAAATAATTTGATTTACTACAGAATAGGCAAATGATGATTTTAGTAGTCTGCTCTTTCCTTGCTGCAATCCTGAATATTATAGACATTCCAACCAATGTCAAATCCTTTTGTACATATAAAAGTATGCAATGGCAAAAAAAATCTGAGACACAATAAACATTTTGCTCTTGGGAATAAACGATCAAACTATAGGACTTAAATATATGATAAATCTGGTTTTGAGAATAAAAGATCAAGCGACAACTACATAAATAAATAATTTTGATTTACTCTTTGATCTTTTCCTGTGAATACCAATTAAGAAATACACTCCCTAAAGCATGATTGTGAGATAATACTCCTCTTGGAGTGTGCTCATGACATAGACTGTGAGACAAAGAATAAAAACACAGATTAGAGAGTAATTTAGAAAACTTAGAAATAATTTAGTTAACAAATAGATGATTTAAAATATACCTTTCTCTGAATTCAAAGAATTCTGGAGTTTCGTGGTTGGAAAAGAGTTGTGGGGCATCATACGAACTACAAATCTTGATCTCCCCAGCTTTAAAAGGTCACGGTTTGTTGGTATAAGAATACAGACCATTGGTGATTATTATAGATGATGATAGGCAGTGTTACTACTACTGTTTAGGTGTGATTGTGATAGGCAGTGTGCGTGCAAGGTGCCATGTATATGTTAGAATATGAGATATAGTATACGATTCAATACCAAAATAGTATAATAGTATTTATTCATAAAACTCACCTCCTGGTCATGAAACGACCTATTTAGATTTGATTTGCGATGAAGCGTTTTCTGTTTGATTTGCGATGAAGCTTTTTCTGTCAGGTATGTCCTATGCTTGTGTTCATTGGAGAAATCCGAGTGGCAAGAATGAGCATTGTTCTTCAGTATACGCAGTGCTTTAATCTTGGCAAAGTTTGTATTGAATATTGAGACTTGTTAGTGTTTGTATTGAAGAGAATGTGATGTATATATAGGACTTTAGATTTGATTTATGCCCTTTCGTTTACTAACAAAAGGTTTCAAACGATTAGTTGCAATTAATTATCTTAGAAAAAAGAATCCGGCTAATGGGTTTAATTATGTAAATAAATTTCGTATGGGAAACTAAAGAGTATAATAGGTTTAATAGAATGCTTTAATATCATTGGCTTAGAAATAAAAAAAAGAGTTAATACCCAAAATCGTCCTCGATTATAGTGGTTTTTCTCAATTTCGTCCTAAATGACTTTGGTGACCTAATATCATCCCAGACTTTTGTGTTTCGCTCAATTTAGTCCCAGACTTTTGTGTTTTTGCTCAATTTAGTCCCTCATTTGTTATTCTGTCTATTTGGTGTTAAATAAATAGACAATTCAGTAATTTTAATATTGACATCTCTTTACTCATAGACATGTGAACTGCGAAATCCCTCTTTTTTTTTTTTTTTTTTTTTTTTTTTTTTTTTTTTACGAATTACTCCCAAAATTACTCCTAAAACTGCAAATATAAAATTTGATTTGCAGGTCCGGGAGTAATTCGTACAAGAAAGAGGAATTTCGCACTTCACAAGTTGAAAGTAAAGAGAGATCAATATTGACATTACTGAATTGTCCCTTTATTTAAAACCAATTTGACGGAATAACAAATGGAGGACTAAATTGAGCGAAACACAAAAGTCTGGGACGATATTAGGTCACCAAAGTCGTTTAGGACGAAATTGAGAAAAACCACTATAGTCGAAGACGATTTTGGGTATTAACTCTTTAAAAAGATTGGCTAAAATCTAGGGAACTGATAAGGTAACACGTTTTTTAACACAAAGCCTAATAAATTTTTGGCCATCTATGGAACGGCGTCGTTGGGTTTGGGCGGGAAGTTTTTTCTCCCTTTGTTTTGCTTTAATATATATAGAGATAGAGATTAGATTAAAAGTATAATAAGTCTCAATTTATGTTATATTCTTGTTTTCTTTTTTTAATATACACTATGCTATAAGAGTTGTATTATATAATTTTTTGAACAAAAATATTTCTATCGTTATGACTTCTGTTATATTTTCCCATGCACATTCATACACAATGGCCCTGTTTGGTAAAATGGCTGTTAGCTGTGAGCTGATTGTGTTAATTATAGGGTATAAATTGTTGATAACATTAGTTGATTGTAGAAAAGTGTTTGGTAAATTAGCTGTTAGCTGATAGCTGTTTGGTATAATTTCTTTTTCAAAAAAGCTAATTGAAAAAGTTGCTTGGAGTAGTTTTTTGAATTTTAGCCTTTTGGAGTTGCAAAAAGCTAATTAACCAAACATTTATATTGATATTTTAACTAAATTAAACAATTAATAGTGGTCAATAAGTCAAAATTGACCTATAGGCCAATTTTTTACCAAACAGGACCAATATCTTTTCTTATATTCTTCAATAGTAGTAATCTATATCTATATATCTATATCTATATATATATATATAAAAGTAAAATCCTCCTAACAAATTTTCCCCCCAAAACTTTTGTAGTAAAACTTATTTGGTAAGTAAATGTCAAATGGAAATTAAATAAATAAATAATAATAATAATAATAATAATGTTATTACCTTAAAAAAATAAATTATTATACTTTCCCTTAAATAAATAAACTATTATATTTTCCTTTTGAATTAGTATTTTCTACCTATAAATACAAGAGCTTCTTCCATCAAAGAATCGCAGACTCATCTTTCTGCTTTCTTTTTGTATGAATTTTCTACATTTTTCTAACTATATTCTCACGTACTCCAATATGTTTTGCAGTTTGGTCATCATGAATAGCTTCATCAACAATATCTTCTTAAAGCTCGCCCGAGAGGTGACTCGCTTGGCCCACTACAACAAGAAGCCGATAATCACTTCCCGCAAGATCCAAGCTGGCATGAGATTGGTTCTTCCTGGCGAATTGGTAAAGCACGTTGTCTCTCTAAAAACACTAAAGCAGTCACCATATTTACAAGCTCTTAGATGAAATCATTTAAATCTATGTTTCGTTTTTATATAATCTCAATTAGGGATTAATAGATGTAAAGTAACTTGGATTTGAGTTTAATTTCATATTATAAGTATTGTTATCTACCTTCAACTATCAGTGAATCGATTAGCATTCTCAAAAAAAAAAAAAAACTAAAATAAAAAAAATTGAATGTCTATATCTACGTGCATTTAAGATGCAACATGTGTATGATTCATTAGGCTTTGAGGCAGGAGAACACATCTGGGTACATTGGTGGATCTGTATCTCATTGCAAAAAAATATCCATACAATTAATTAATTAATATAATTACAATTATCATTATTCTAATTCAAAAAAAAACTAAAAAATTAATTGTAATAATGAAATTTGTTATTAATATTCTGTTACTAATTGACACAGAAATCAGACTAAAAGAAAAACGAAATTAATATAAAAAATGGACTCGAATTAAAAAAATGTATTTAATAAGTAAATAATTAATTTGCTAGACAGAAAATTAGGATAAAGGAAAAAGAAAATGATTATTAAACATTGTACCAGATTGTTTTTATGATTGAAAATGAATATTATAAACGTACCAGATTGTTTTTATGAACAGAAATATGAATGAATTTTACACACGAGAATCTATTATCAATATTCTGTTATACTAATAGGCATGGGAATCATGCCAAATGAAAAAAGGATTTAATATTAAAAATTTATTGGAAATATAACACAGTTTTCCAAACGAAAAAATTAGTAACCACCAAATGAAATATTAGGAAAAAATTATGAAGAAAAAAGAAACGGAAATAAATATTAACTCTTTCTATGAATGAAAAAAGGAAATGAATATATCCATATTTCACTTAAAATATAATTAGTAATTATATTATATTATTATAATTATATTAATTATTTATGGAGAAAAAAGGAAATAAATATGAAAGGAAAAAAATAAAATTTAGACACGAAAATCTATTATTAATATTCTGTTATATTAATAGACACCGGAATTAGGCCAAATGAAAAAAAAAAATTTAATATTAAAAATTTATTGAAAATATAACACCGCTTTCCCTACGAAAAAATTAGTAACCACCACGTGAAATATTAGAAAAAATTATGAGGGAAAAAGAAATGGAAATAAATATTAACTCTTTCTATGAGTAAAAAAGGAAATGAATATATTCATATTTCACTTAAAATATAATCAACAATTATATGATTATAATTATTATAATTATATTAATTATTTATGAAGGAAAAATGAAATGAATATATTAATAGTTTACTGGAAATATAATCAGTAATTATATTTTTTTATAATTATATTACTTTTTAATTATGTGGAAATGAATATTAATTATTTTTATGAATAAGAAAGGAAATGAATATTTCACAAAGAAATCTGTTATTAATATCATGTTACTAATCGACATGGAAATCAGGCCAATTATTCGACAATTATTAGAAAAATGAATACAAATCAATATTACTTCTTTTTATGAAGGGAAAAAAAAAAAAGAAGAAATATGTATATTCAAAAGGAAATGAAATATGAAGAAAAACGAATGAATATGTTTATATTTCACTAAAAATATAACACAGCTTTTGGCACAGAAATCAGACCAAAAGAAAAAAGAAATTAATATTAAAAATGGACTCGAATTAAAAAAAAAATGTGCTTAATAAGTAAATAACTAATTTGCTACACAGAAAATTAGGGTAAAGGAAAAAGGAAATGATTATTAAACACGTACCAAATTGTTTTTGTGATTGAAAATGAATATTACAAACATACCACATTGTTTTTATGACCAGAAATAGGAATGAATTTTACACACGAAAATCTATTATTAATATTATGTTACTAATAGGCATGGGAATCATGCCAAATGAAAAATGAATTTAATATTAAAAATTTATTGGAAATATAACACAATTTTCCCTACAAAAAAAAAAATTAGTAACCACCAAATGAAATATTAGGAAAAAATTATGAAGGAAAAAGAAATGGAAACAAATATTAACTCTTTCTATGAATGAAAAAGGAAATGAATATATCCATATTTCACTTAAAATATAATTAGTAATTATATTATTATAATTATATTAATTATTTATGAAGGAAAAAGGAAATGAATAAGAACAGACAAAAATGAATTTTACACACGAGAATCTATTATTAATATTTTGTTACTAATAGACACAGGAATCAGGCCAAATGAAAAAAAGATTTAATATTAAAAATTTATTGAAAATATAACACCGCTTTCCCTACGAAAAAATTAGTAACCACCACATGAAATATTAGGAAAAAATTATGAAGGAAAAAGAAATGAAAATGAATATTAACTCTTTCTATGAGTGAAAAAAGGAAATGAATATTACTCATAATGAATAAATATATGAATTATTATACATAGTAGCATGGAATTAATTAGTAGGACAATTATATTAGGTAATCTAATTAATAATTTACTTTTCAAATTATATTCCCTTTTTAATAATGAATATTTTCTTAAAGTATATACACAGATTATGTTTATCAATATAGAATTAAAAGTGTATAGATGTATAATATTATTAGTACAAAATCAATTATACTTGCCTTAATAATTAATTATTAATATTATTGCCTAATAATTATGTGTTGTCACCATTTTCGGGGTAATTATTATGGTAATTTATATACATATATATTTTTACACTTAATGTATAATATTATTGGGCACAAAATAAATATACTTATCTTAATATATATAGATTATTTTTAATATAATTTCCTAATTTATTAAAGGTAATTATTCTCATAATTTTTCTTTCATTCTTTTGTGTAATTATTATGGTAATGTATTTAAATATTGAAAGAGAAAAAATGTTATAATTAATGAAATTATTATTGTAATTGCCACAATATTTGGTAATTATAAATAATATACTTAAGAAATTTGAGAAATATAAGATTTCTTCCGTAGAAATATTTGTGACAATTTTATTAAATTATAATTCATAAAATATGAAATATAATTAAAGAAATGAAATTATAAAATTAACAAAACAGGAATATTTATAATTTTATTTTTAAATAT